ATACGACAATTTGAATTAGAGATGCCACTGATCTGATACCCGCTTTCAGTATCAGGATCATAACAGCAGAAAATGCTGGATTGAATATCAGAGGAAAAAAGTGGCAAATCCAGCCTGAAAAAGCGTAGAACTGTGTGTAGCACAACATCATGTAAAGTAAAGCAGGTCATGTGATTGCAGCCACATGTAGCCTTCTACGTTCTGGGGGGTGCTGGAGCCTATCCCAGCGGTCATTGGGCAGAAGGCAGGATACACCCTAGACAGGTCGCCAGTCCATCGCAAGGCTAGCCACATGTAGTGTAACATTAACATAAAAACAAGAGAGTTGTTATTGTGCTTACTGTGAACCGTTTATTTTTAAACAGACTCGTTTTGCATATGTTGGCACTGTATATGGTGTTGATTCATTTATTGTTATTTTCTGTTTTGTTTATTTCAAGTTGAGGTAAATAAAAAAGCTATGATTTTGTGTAAGTCACATTATTAGCTATGTATTTTTTTCTATAGTGCAGTAAAGTGTTAAATTGAGTAGTTAGATGGACATAAGTTAAAAATAATTCATTTTGGAACTTAAAGCAAAATATCAGATAAGTAGCGATATTGTCTGATATCCAGATTCACATTTGCACATATTGTGCCTTTTGTAATTTGTGAGGGTATTTTGCTAGTCTCCTGGTCCCCATGAAGAAAACCTTTGTTATAAAATAGCCAAAAGAGCCAAAATATTTTCTTTTGGTTACTAAAGTTTAGGTAGATTTAAGAGAGGAAACATCAGTATTTAACTGTGCGTGTGTGTTTTGTGTGTGCATATGTGTGTGTTTGCATGCATTCGTATGTGTGCGTGCGTGTTTGGATTCCTGACTGGCTGGCTGGCCGGCCAGTTCATCTCTAAACTGTAGGGCCTGAAGGTCAGTACAGTAGTCCAGCGTAGCCTTAAAGCCCTGCTTTTATGGATTTTTTGGAGTGATAGACATCCTTCAGTGAGTTTGTGAAGTCTCTGCTCAGCTCTCTTTCTTCTGTTCAGTGATAATGTGTGTGTGTGATGGGGGAGTGGGTGTGGGGGATATGTTAGTGTGTGGGTCAGTTAGTGTCTGTGGTCTATATTAGATACTTTCAGCAGGATATCAGTGTTAAGATTGATGGAGCCTCATGATGAGGTATAAGAGAGGGAGAGAGGTAGGTTTGAAACAAGACACGAGGGGCATGGACACACTGACCCTGACCTGTTGGCGTACACACACGCACACACACACACACACGCGCACATACACGTCAGATACACTTACAGCACAGTGGAGGGAAGATTCTTTTCCTTTTCAATTGCTTGCCATGACGTCTATGTGGAAAGAGTGTAAATCTCTGACATCACAAGGGTTGAATTAAGATATGATTGTTTAAGTATCATGAAATTCCACCATGATTCAGGTTGATTCAGGGTTATTACAGCAGTGTTGGGGTAACATGGTACAAAGTAATGTTTTGCAGTAATGTGATTACTTTTTCCTGTGACAAAGTTATGTAATACATTCCAGTATAAATTCTTGCAACCACATTACAGCTGCTGACTTAATAGGAATATTGTTATTTGTGTTACTTGTATGCCTCTAAAACAATATTAATTATGCACAATGCATTTAAATCATAGATTGCTTCTGTATACAGTAGAAACCAAAAGAGACCACTAGTGAAAATGCTTCTATTTTGCTTTTTTTTCCATTTTAATAGAAAATGTTTCATTACAAATTATATCATTAGCATAACAATGAGTGAAAAATAGAATCTTTGAAATTTTGACATGAATTTCAGAATTTCTCAGTGTTTATCCCCTCTTTGCTTTAATGTGTATTGTATATAATTTGCGTGTACATGTGCTAACTGTGTCTTGACGCAATAAAAACGTTCTGCAATGCAAGCGTGGGGAAACACTGTAAACTCATCAAGTAATCTGTCAAAGCATCCAAGCTGATGGATAAAGATCTCTGTGCTGAAGAATCTCACCTAAGCAGTTTTTCATTGAGACACAGCTTTACGTTTACAGCTTTACATTTTATTATTATACAGTTCTACTGGCTAGTTTCTCAGTTCTCAAACAGCATCAGGTGATCATCTTTTTAGTCAAGCAGAACTAACTGTGTCTTGTTCAAAGGCAGGCACAGTTGGCTGTAATTGAGTATTCACTTCTGATTAAACAACTGAGAAGCACTGGTACAAGCAGGTTTAATAGAGTAGCACAGAAGTGAAGTAATGAGTGGTGAGATCACTTTTTCCAGGAAGTAATAAGTAAACTCATTGCAGTGTGAAAGAAGTAAATAATGATTTGTAATGGATTACTTTTCTTGAGAAACTACCCCAACGGTTAATAAAATGATTAATAGAACTAAAACTATCAGTTAAAAATAGAAATAAAAATAAAAAGTGTGATTTTAGATTTAAAGTGGTAGTTTTCAAAAATTATGAAAGCTGAATAGAAACTATGTTGGCCACTGCAACAGGAACAGAAGTAAATGGTATAACATAGACAAATACTTTAGTTTTCATATTATATATACCTGAAGAATGGTCTAGAAGTGAACTCCTTCGATATCAAACCTTAAATTCCCATGTCTTTGAGCAGGGGTGTCCAGTGTTGTCCACAAAGAGGTTTTCATTCCAGCAAAGCTGGAGCTCAGCTGATCAGTTGTTTGGAGACAGATACCACTTGATTGAAAAAGTGGAATCAATTGTGCTTTGGCTTATTTAGAATGAAAACTTGCAGCCACACCAGCCTTTTACAGATAAGATTGGAGAGGAGCAATCTAGCTATCAGTTAACTTTCATTTATTTATGGCTTTTTATTTAATACTTAGACATTTAGAGTTATAGTGTTATTATAGTCATTTACTGTCATATACTATTTACATAGTGAATTATATTTACATTAGATCTACAGTCTGTATCATCGTGACGATTTTCCATTTTTTATTGTAATCTTCTTAGAATACACACTTTCCACAGAATTTCTCTGCTTTTTTCAATGAACTACCAGTGAAGAGTCATTAATATAAAACTTCGACATGCTGTTGTTATCACGGCCAATAACTGTGATTCCTGAAAATTAGTATTCTTTGTAATCTATAGAAAATAACTTTGAGTTTATTATCTTTATGCAGTGAGAGAAACAGCATCAATTCTGGGCAGCACTCATATACTGGGACCCAGATCTGTGCCAGTCATTTCTGAGTGTGTATTGAGAGCTTTTGAACGTTTGAGTGGCTCCGGCTGTGGGCGAGGGCTTGACCATTGAGAACTGAGGCCTCATACAGATGTGTGTTTGTGCTGAGCGGTTTCTAACATATTTTCCTTTTTTAGAGAGTGGTGTGTGAGGTAGGAGGGGTTGAAATTCAAAGGGGCCTGTGTGTGGACGTGGCTGAGAGTGTGTGTGTGTGTGTGTGAAAGGACTTAATTACAAATTAATGTAAATAAACTGCATTTCCTCTCCTCCAGAGGAGCTAAAAGGGAACATTCAAGCGTTCAAGAGTGCATGTTAACATTCACACAGCTCTTCAAATTGACTGCTCCTTGGACACACACAGAAACACACACATGTGCCAGTAGATTCAGTTCATTGTGAAGTTTGGCTCCACCTTGTGGAGGTCAAATAGACTGCAGTTATTGGACTGTGTGTAATTGTATTCATAGTTTGGTAGTGACCTGTGTCATAACACATTAAAGTGCAAAAGTCAGAGACCACCTTAAAATTTAATTAAGATCTCGTCAAAACGGCCAGTAAGTTATTCAATTTTCAGCACCAGGAAAATAAGCAGGAAACATATCTTTAACAGAAAATTACACAGAAACCTGAACAGCTACATATAACACTTGATTTTTCAGTATTTAGTGTGTCCACCCTACAAATAAATCTCTACAGCGAGTCTCCTTACTGCAGAGATGGTACTGGACTGACCTCCTGCTGCATGAACTGTGCAGAACCACATCACTATATCACCTCTCTTGTTAATACACACTGTGCAATATATCATGACCGCTACTGTAACCACTTTCAGTGACACTTTCACTGCACACTTTAGACTGTAAATAGTGATGTTACTCCTAGTTATGTTTATACTCATTGTGTTGTAACTACCTCATACCACTGCTCTCATGTAAATACAACAAATCTGTCTTATATGCTATGTAAATATACAAATAGATATACTTCTATTCCTATTCTCTCATACTTTGACTTATGTCTTTTTTATTTCTGCCTATCTATCTATCTATCTATCTATCTATCTATCTATCTATCTATCTTTATTACAGTATCCATGTTTTGCAAAGTGTCCCACTTATTTGTTTTTTTAAATACAGTTTTGGAATGCTTAATTTCCTTTGTCTTTTGCCTTTTTTATGATAATCCTTAGTGGATTTTCTTATATCTAATCTCCTCAGAAATGTCTTCTTTAGCCATTTTAAAAGCAGATCAGAGAGAAATGTGTTAGACAGTTAAGATGAGTTGGGTAGCTGCTCGTGTGGGTAGATGTTTGTATGTTTGTGTGTGTATGTTAGTGCCTGTTTGAAGGATAAACATATGGTCAATGAGATCTTTGGGAATATCTTTTGTTGGGAGTTCTCAGCTGTAACTGAGTTTAAAATTGAAGGATGGAAGAGTTATAGTGGCAGTATGTTGCACAAAAGTAAAAAGCAGAGAAATTAAGTACTGATATTCATTATTTACATTCTACTCAGTGTAAAACACAATATTTACTGCTCTGGTGTCTTTTAATTAGGAAGTTACGCCTGTGTTCATTTATATGAATGTTCTTAGTAGGTAAACCTCTTAGACTGTAAATCTGCAGCTGTGAATGCACTTGTGTGCTTGAATGTGAAGTGGAAATGTACGTATGATAGAATTTAATCTTGTTTGTTTAATAATGTAATATAAATTTTAATGTAACAATGTAACATCTGAAACTCCTTTGCTTCTCTTTCTTTCTGTGTATGTTTGTCATCCTCTATCTCAGGAATGAAGCGTCCATTCAATCCAGTTGATGAAGGCGAGGCTTTGAGTGACGGAACTACACTTGATGGTGCAGAGTTTACAGGACTTGGAGCCCTGCTGCCAGAGGCTCGTCCAAAGCGGGAGCGGAAACATAGATCATATACGCTTTGTGAAGTGTGTAACATTCAGCTCAACTCTGCCGCACAAGCACAGATACACTACAATGGCAAAACTCACCAAAAGAGACTGAAACACTCGAACAGTGGGAGCACAGGTAGGAAAGCTTGTATGCATCGTTAAATCAACTGCTGCTGTGTTCTTGCTGCAACTTCTTCTATGCTGATGCTCAATTAGTAATGGCTAGAGCAGCACTGTGAAATCTCCAGGCCCGGTGCTGAGTTTAGTAACAGATACTGTACTAACTGTTGGTTTTAGTGGGTGTGTTGGTGCTATTTCTGAACCTCATTCAAGGCCATTCTTGTTTGAGGCTTTATATCTGGTGGTGTGGTTTCATGTTTCACTGTGGCTTTCAGTCGTACTAGTTTTAAAGGAACATATGGAATAGTTTGCTATACTGTGTAAACATTGTTAAAGTTTCAAAATGTAGCATTCAATTCACAGTTCATATGCTCCAAATGTGGAAACAAAGCTGCAGAAACAGCCTGTTTTGACATCATCATGGTTGTGATGTCGCAACTATAAATATGTTTACATACAACATCCCATTCACAAACATGGAGAGTGCCTCAAGTTTATATTTTTCATTATCCCTTAGGATTTTAGTCAAAACCGAACAGTGTCTTCTGTACATTTCAGCCCAGGAGGCTTATTTCAAGGCAGCCAATCAGAACAGAGCTCATTTCCATATATTTGTCTTGAAGACACAGTAGAAATGGCCTGTTTAATTCAAAGGGATAAAGAGGTTGGAAAACTGTCATGTTTAAATGAATTTTAAAAATGTCAAAAAATGGAAGAAAAAATACATAATATATAAAAGTAGTTTATATGATATATAAAAGTAGAATATGGGCATTCTTTTTTTTTATCAGGCTTTGCACACTCTGCTATGAAAATAAGTCTCTGGTCTGCAGTTTTGCTCCTCGCTGATTGCAAACTCACAGAAAATGAATCCGTCCTGCTGCTGTATATAAAGGTGAACTGATGAGGGAGTGAGCGAGAGAGGAAATCAAGCAAAGGTAGAACGGCACAGTGGGGAGCGGTCATATGGGTCAGAAGCTGTGGCTCTCGCCTTCAGCTTGTATTTTTGCTTTTAGGAGCTCTAACAGGCCAGTGGTGTCATAATGGCTAAATCCATAAATTGAATTCTAATAAAATGCGTATTTCTCACTTGGAATGATCAATTTTAACTGGGAATGCAAAGTTTTGGCAAATGCATTTGAAAGTTGACTGATCATTAATATGCGATTAATCATTAAGCAGCAATTAAGGATGTGACCTGAGTATCAATTAATTATAAAATGGATAGATCTGGTTTTGAAAATTGATCGAGCCACATTCCCAGCCATTAAAAATACATTATGTGTCCAAAGGTTTATAGACACCTGCTCATCACACAAGGGTATTAATAGAGAATTTGTCATCCCTTTGCTGCAGTAACAGCCTCTACTCTTCTGAAAAGGCTTTACACTAGATTGGAACATTGCTGTGTGGATTTGATTGCATTCGATCACAACAGGATGCTCATCTTGGTTGCTCAGTTTTTGATCACAATTGTTACTCCAGCTCATCCTAAGGGTACTGGATGGAGCTCCCTCACTCCAGACAACTTAATTCCACTGCTCCACAGCCCAGGCTTTATACCCCCTAGCCGACGCTTGGCATTGGACATGGTGAGCTTGGGCCTGTGGGTGACTGGTCCAGAGCGCTCCATTTTAATGCCTTTCTAAGGAGATTATACATGCAGCGTCTATGAAACTGAACACCTGCACCAGCAAAGGGTGTACATTATAGTAGCTGAACTCATTAGAAAGAATGTCTACAAACTGGCTGAAATATACAATGATGGGCTACTGAAAAGTGTACATTCTAAAATTCTAAAGTTATAGTTACCACTCATTACGAGCCCAAGTTAAACCAAACATAAATGCCATGACCAAGGCAGCTTTGGCTCAGTGTACCTCAGTAGCTCTTGCTGTCGCTGTCCACCACGTTCTTGTCTATAATTTTACACACCATGTATGTATAGCTGTCGTTTGTGGATGTTTGCTTTCAGTATGTTGTTTGCTATTGTTCTGTTGAAATATGATCGCAAACATCACTATATTTAGCTGCATGCTTTAGTTTTTATTAGGCCTTACTAGCAGAACCAGTTGCCTATTGTGCCTTAATGAGTACATTTCAAAAATGTTCCTCAATTTGAATGATTAACAGGCCTGTTCAAAACTGTTTGTTGGAAATACATAAGACTACCTTACGTTTAATTTAATCACTGGTCAAACAGTTGTTAATTCAGCGGTCTAAGCTTACTTAATACTTCTTCATTCTTATGTGTGTATTTGTACATACAGTGAAACACTAAAGCATTATAATTAGCAGTATATTCTGTGTAGGATTTTAACTGCATACACTATACAATCCGATACATGCAATACTTACAGTCGCCCATATATTCATTCTTAGGTCTTGACATGAAATGGCTTGAAATGGCTTGGTTACTTTATATTCTGACACAGACACACACAAACACAAATACACACACACACGCAGTGCGCACAGCAGTCAGACCCACTTCAGGTGCAAGCTCTCATACGAATGGACCATAATTACATAGCAACGGAACATGCTCACCACGGAAACGCTCGGCATGGCGACGCCCCCCTGCGAAAGCAGGGTACAGCAGCTCCCACACTGACGGCCTCTTAAAGTGGATGTGTCTCTGTATGTGTGTATGTGTATGTGTATATGTGTGTGTGTGTGTGTGTGTCTGAACACCCCACCATCCACCCAAGGACACAAAAGATCATTGATTAGGCCTTTTGGCTGCTGTAAGACATCATGATTGGAGTTAAATGAAGGTAGGCAGCCCTCCCCATGAGTAAACAGCGGTGCTGGGAGCATTAACAACAGAGGACACACATCATGTAGCACAGTAAGTTGTTCTGTATGCAGACCTGGTCTCTCTTACCTGACTATGTTTGCTTCACCCTGACTCACTGCTTCTCTACGCAGCCTCAGACATTCTAATGCTCATTAAACAATAGACCAGCACGGCCCAGCATTTCTAAATAATCTAAACAACCATCTGCAGCACTTGTATTCAGTCTTACCCCAAATACATTCACTCCCTCACTTCCACATTAGTGGAGACTGAAAGGGTTTTATTAACACTGGTGAGAGAAGGATACTGCACAAGGATACTGCAAAATATTTAAAATTTGGTATTAGATTATTTCTCGCAACTGATTAAATATATATTTGTATGCACATATAAATAGATAAATACATACATAGATGAATTATTGATATGTAAGTGTAACAGTACAATCATGTAGGAGCTGGAATCTTTACTTGTATATTTGATATACAGTATATGACAAAAACACTCATTGGTTAGAACATATAGGCGCTCTTGCTCTCGTTGGAAGCTGGTGATGAAACTGTGTTCACCCTGCATTCAATCTGTGATTTTCATGTACAACTTCATGTGAACTTTGTGTTGAAATTAATGTTATTGAATTATTGAAATTAATAAATTAAGCTTATTGTGTCCACTCATGTGGCTATAACAATTATTTCAATTTGATATTGATAGCGTAACAATACTTTTTTCTAAATGTGACCAAAAAAAAACACAAAAAAAGAAATAATTATTATTATGAAAATAGAAAAATGAGAAAAACGTGTTCACAAAGCACAAGCACATTATTGTAACCACTGTTATAGGTGTGCCGTGTATCCCACCTAAACCAGGGACATTCAACAGTCGAAAAGGGCTGCAATCCTTTAACAATATAACTGGCTAGTGCTCTGTGGAGTTCTTCCCTCCTCTTAGCTGACATCCTGAGCTTTTCTGCTACAGTGAAAGGGGTTGTTTCTCCGCGGGCAGCCGCATTAGCACGGGAAAAAACTGGTTGAACTGGCCGTGGTACTGTCAAAGCCCTCACCTCCAACATACAAAAACGACATGCAAGTTAATAGGGCTCATTTATGAAACCTACAAAACATTAATTATATGAACCTTTCAGATATGTTCATATGGTGGGTGAATTGTAGCCAGCTAGCTAGTCAATATGTGCTAGTTTATGCTAATGTTAGCTGAATCCTAACCAGCTTTCAGTGCTGACAAACGGCGTAGTAACGAGTGTTAGTTTTCTCTGGCAAAGCGAGAAAGGTGCACAGTAATCTGTTAACTTACTTGATGATATTTTATCACTGGAAACACAGGTGTCTGCGTGAGTTTAATATATTTAGCCCAGATTCTTGCATCTCCGGCGGCAACATAGCTAATGCTGTTCCTCATGCAGTCGAAAATTCTGCAGTTTTCTTGACGGAAATTCTATGTGTAATCAGATGTTTCATCAGATTTGACATATTACCCCCTTTAGGAAGCCACTATCTTAAGGCTCTTGTTGCATCTGGAACTGTTCTCAGTAACTTCTTCGAAGTAAAGCCAGACTTTCAACCTCTTCAATATATTTAACTAGCTGTGTGCTCTCTGCCTTTCTGTGCGTCAGGGAGCCAGTCGCGTTTTTTTTTCTTTTCTTTTTTTGCATTGGTAGTAAGGTTAACTCCAGTAATCCCTCATGATTTGCGTTTTATGCGAAATATTGAAAATAATGTTTTTGAGACTTTCCGTTACTCAGATACTGAGTGCATCTCAGTACTGAGATGTTTTGGTCGGTGACTTTCTGATATCGAGTTTCGGTATCCAGCCCTGCACAGGACTTTGTAGGCTGGATATTTCTGGGTTGTAGACTAACAAATTAGACAGGCGAACAGATGGACTATAATCTGTTATTGTAGAGCTACAGTGTACCTATATGGTAATCCATCATATATATATATATATATATATATATATATATATATATATATATATATATATATATATATATGTATGTATGTATGTATACACACACACATGGGAGCAAGAGAGAGATGTATACTGTTTATGATTTAAAATTTTAATGAAATATTCTCTAATGCTAAATCTTGAACATTACAATATCTCGTCATTTTAATGAGATAAGAAGTGATAAAAAAATAAGAGATATGGGAGTGTGTTTCTGTATCTGTTTTACTTTACTTTCATTT